GTGGCTCCTTTGAGCCATCCTCCTAGAACCACCAGTGGAGAGAAGACTCTGAAATGGGTCAAAAGAGCACACCAGTAAAATTCACTTTACCAGTAAGGCCCAAGGTTAATTGTTGGCTCCTTTTTTAAAAATTTATTTCTTGTTTCAAATACTGTCCAGTCATATTGTTCCCGTAGCCTATCAGAGATTCTGCAGCTGTCGGAGGATATCATTAATCCATTCTAATTTGCATTCAATAATAAAATGTCGATGAAATAGACATGTCCTCAATATAAATATGACCCCCCCTCCTACTATGAAGTTCTCATAAGTTAAAGTGCAAAGATGACATTCCCAAAGGAGGCTGCAAAGTCTAAGATACTTACGGAACATCTAAGAGGGTCTCTGGCCCAGGTGGACTTGGGGTTCCTTCAGCAGCCATACCCTCATAGAATGAGTTGTTTCTTCTGGGCTTCTGGAGTCGAATACTCTCTTGTTTCCCTTTAATCTATGAATAAAGCAAAGAGATAATTCCAGAACTAGCTCCATACCAATGAATTTAATGAGACAAATAGGCATTCTAGTCTTTACAACAATTATCCCAGGCACCATTTATGTTCCTGGACCCCTTTCCCTGCTGCCATCACTGAGAGTTGCCAACACTCAGGGGATCTGAATGAGAGGGGGCGAGGTTAGATAGAGAAAACCACCGTGGGTTTAGCTCTCCCAGGCTGTCAGTTTTTTTCTAGTTCTGTGAATGTCTACATTTCTTAATGTAGGAAAATATCTTCTTAAGAGGAGAATTTTGCCACTGTGCACTTACCATTAAGGAGGAATCCATCTAGATAATCTTAAGAGAATGCTTGAAACACCACTGTCCGTTTCCAAGTTCAGGAAGTTGCACTGGGCAGCCCTTGTCGAGAGGTCTTATTTATGTTACCTCTCTCTCCTATGTAGCACATTCAAACCCTCATCTTATTTTCCTTTGCCTCTGTGTGTTCCCTTCCTGCCCCTTATTATATATAACTTCTTGATCTTAGAAGCCTAGGCCTCCTCAGGAAGCTTTCTCCCTCCTATATATTCCAGGGCCAGTTTGAAAACGTGAGCCCAAGCGGATGATGACCCTTAAGTCGTAAGTCAGTCACCTGCCTTAAGGTTAGGTCTGCCGCAGCTCCCTTCTTGCCCTACGCCCGGGTGCAGGATGGCACCGAGTGCCCCTAATCCAGCCCTTGCTGTCGCTTACCTGAGCCTGGATCCAGGCCTGGACCTAATTATTAATAAATTACAGCTGGACCCTCAAGAGTGCTCTGTGATACAGACCTTCGCTGCCTTACTTGGACTTCTGTAAAGTTCCTGGCATAGAGTATGCAATAAATTAAAACTATATATATATATATTTTTTAAAGTAGTTAATGTAGTTCCCCCTCCTGAGGTCTCCCCTACAGTTGAACTCTTGCTTAGAAAGAACTCTTCCAGCCAGTTCAAGGACAAGCCTCTATCCTGAGGATGCTCACAAAGGTGGTGACCAGCTGGGCCCACGCGGCTCTGAGCATTTCCCCACGTAGCCCTACTGCATGGGAACTCCCGTCATAGAAAAGCAGCTACTCATCCATGGACACAGTCCTTCTGTAAGCATTTTTCATGTACCAAGATAAAAATATCAAATGGTCTGTGGTTTACTAACTTCCCCCCGGGCGGCAACAGTTAAAATCTGGCTGCAGAGCTGAGAAAAACTTGCCTGGTCTCCCATGAGCAAGGCCAAGGTCAAAACGCCCTGCTCACAGATAAAGTTCAAGACCCAAAGCCTTTGCTAAACTAGACTTTTCCACATGCCCTTTTCCCCTCCTCATGATGTTATTTCTTGTCTGTGTATTGGTTTTATGACCCAGTGTGCTGGCCAGATGTTGAGGTCCACACTTACCCCTAACATACCGATTTTGCCAACCGTGAAAGGCCTGGCCGCCTACGGAACTACCAACGACACACTCTCTAGAGTAGGCTCGTCACGAAAGGAAGGGGCTGGGCTAGTCCACTTGCTGGTCTCACTTTCAGCATTTCTGTATTTGGCATGGGAGCTTGGATGTTATTCATGGTAGTAAATTTTAAAAAATTGGCTCGTTTCAAGGCTTACAAAAGAGCATGCCCTTTCAGTTCTCAAGGTCCCCTCTAGTCATGTCATTATGGGATTGCTTGCTCTTGTTTACTTGGGCATTCAAAAAAGAATTTGATATTCAAATACTAAGAGGCTCTAAGAGGTTATTGTACTGAATGGTGATGGATTTATTGTGGTGATGTTACCTTTGAAGGTGAAATCAGCACTTCAGATCTTTCTCTGTGAAGAGATTTCTACCATCCATCCCATTCGCCTTTGACATTCTTTGGAAATTTTATTAGTCTTTGTCTTTTCTCACTTCTAACTTTTCCTTTGTTTTATTGTATTAATTTCCTCTTCACATTCTTGCCTCTTGTGTCATGATCGTTTTTTTCCTGAATGCTTGCCCTTCTCCTGGCTCGTCCCACTGTTTAACTTGATTTCTCTCTCCTTCAATTTTTATCTGACAAGGTACATTAGGAATTGTTTGGTGTCCCCCCCCTTAATTCTTATGTTGAGCTGACCATCATCGGAAAAAAAGCAAGTTCATTTGTGGCAAGTATGCTTTTCTGATTGGACCAGAGTATCTTAAACTTTCCTTGACAGCAGCATACTTGCTGACAGTGTTCAATACTGAACACTCTTCCATGGGTGTCGCTGAAGTGTGCTGGCCACATGCACTCACAATGCGCATAGCTGTAATCCTCTTTTATTTATTTTCTCTCCATGTGAGAAAGCCTGTTGCAATGCAAATGAGGTTAACTTCATAGAATGTACTAATCAGAATATTCTAATTAATTTTAGTGTAGATTCTTTACAAATTTTACTTTAACTGTTAATTGTAACCTATAACTTTCATATAGCTCAACTGAATATATCCACTGGGTGAAATTATGTTTAATAATTATCATGTTTTGATTATAACATTTCATTTTTCTAGAGGTGCATCTTTGAGAGATGAATTCAGTGGTACCAGTAAAACCAGGTCATTTTAAGTTCTCCGAACCCAATTCTTACTTACATAGTATCTGTCTTTTTCACCTGATTGGTTTCTCGGTGTCCTTTTGTCTTTTTATATTCTGCCTTTCTATCAGCTCCCTCCTGCCGAGATTGAATGTATAATCATTAAAAATTATATGAGATCATTTGCTCTAAGGACAGTGAAGTTTTGATTTTATATGTGCAGGCAGTGTTTTTCAAACTTCAGTATGAATCAGAATTACCTCGGTACCATGTGAAAATGTAGATTCCTGGGCTTCAGTGTACACATTCTGGTTCATTTAGACTTGCAGGTGACCCAAGAATCTGTTTTTCTAAAAAGCATCCCAATTGTTATAATATAACTGGTAGAAACCATACTTGGAGAAATATTGGTTTCTTCTTTCCCAAGTAGAGAGTAAGAAGAAGGAGTAATTTTGAACAGTGGAGAGAACTGTCATAGTCTGGGCCTCAATGAGTTCTGTATGGGTGTCTGGAAAACTTAAATAGAGCATTAAAAAGAACAGTGGGCTTCTGGGAGATGCAGAAACAGGGAATCAAGGGTGGCAAGGACTAATATATGGACAAAGGCTTGAAGGATCAATAATGATAACCTTGATTCATAATTTTCCTTGATTGACTTTCCTTCGTAAATTAGAAAAGTTAATAGCAATATAAACATAAACTCTGATTATAAAGGTATTTTAATCTTTCTTTAGGAACTGACACCGTCATTCAACAATTCAGTAATTTTTAAAATATTTCAGGCTCTCTAGGGTATTGAACAGGTTAGATATAGGATGATTTTTGACGTTTGAAGTGATATCATACAATTCCAATTAGTATTTTATTTCTGGTCCTATGATAACAAATATGTAGCATAGAGGAGATGATAAACTATGCCATATGAAAAAACAGAATTTAACTTCACAACTGAGGGAAAAAGTAGATTTTCATTTAAAGGACATTTATACATCATAAATCAGTAAGCTTAATTGTTAATGTTTTAAAATTTAGAAGCAGTTTAAAGATTTTTCTGAAGATGCTACATATCTTTTAGTATGTCAAATAACTACCAGAGAGATGGTTTTAAATCTAGACCATTTAAAAACTCCAAACTTTAAAAAACACACATATTTTTATTGATTTCAGAAGGATAGAAACATCCATGATGAGAGATAATCATTGATCAACTGCCTCCTGCACGCCCCCCACTGGGGATCTATAATAGACTACAGTCCGGGCATGTGCCCTGACCAGGAACTGAACTTGGAAACCCTTTGTTTCCTGGGATGATGCCACACCAGTCAGGGCCAAATTTTTAATTTTAGCTTATTATTTCAGCTCTTTTCCTCATTCAGCCTCATTCAGAGCTGTTAACAAGGAACTACTTGGCTGGCTTGCATTTTTTTTCTTTAGTGTGTCAAATAACAACCAGAGGTAGATGGATAAATTTAGACCATTTGGTGGCCAGCCTCTGGTGGAAATCCTGATGAGACAAAACCAGGCAAACAAGGGAACCACAATGGGAGCAGAGGCGGTGGGCATTGAGAGTCTGTTGCTGTTCATCCAATCAACCAGAATGCTTTCATTTTAGCAGCCATGCCATAAACGGGCCCGGCACAAGAATTTCACTCCTCTCTCTCTCTCTCTCTCTCTCTCTCTCTCTCTCTCTCTCTCTCTCTCTCTCTCTCTCTCTCTCTCTCTCAGCAGTTCTGCTTCCACCATTTATATAAGTCTGTCATTTCGATTTTGTTCATTTGATGGGAGAGACTTCCCCCTGGTTATCGGTGCTTTTGGGAGATAAATGAGTAATGGAATTTGAACTCTGGGGAGCAATGCTGTTCTTGTTGTGATTTGTATCTTGTTTTGAACTTCACTCAAGTGCAGACCTGGTCTCCATTGGCTCATGTTGGACTAAGCTTCTCCGCTGACCTGTGCTCTCTTGTAGGTGATTCGCAAGGGCTGGCTCACCATCAGCAACATCGGCATCATGAAAGGAGGCTCCAAGGGATACTGGTTTGTCCTGACTGCAGAAAGCCTGTCCTGGTATAAAGATGACGAGGTAAGCCACAGAGGCTGACAGAGTTTTCTTATTTCACGTTCAGTGAAATTATTGTGATATTTAATTTTGAGACACCAGTGGTTCTCTATTCAGTAAGACCTAGCTTGGGATGTGTGTTTGAATAAGCACTGTGCTTTCCCCCCACTCCCCTCAAACATTTTTAATTTTTATAATATTTCCCTTAAATTTCTTTTACTTCATTGATATAGTCACATGTTTGTTTACCTGAAGAAATGGAGTTAGGAGTCCTTCGTTGCAAACGATTTCTGTAACAATGGCAGGAAATTTTCATTAAATAACAGTGAAGGAAATTTTCATTAAATAACATGTTGAAAAGACTCAAGGTAATAGAGCATTATAACAGGGAAATTAATAGCACTGATGCTGAGTTAAATAAAGTGTTTTGGAATTGTTGCTGTGACATCGGTCTCAAATGACAGGGTTTTGAAAATGTCCAAATCATTCGTCTTCAAGTCCCTGAAAACTGTTTATGTGAATTTTGTTCTTTGAGAATTTGATATCTATGTAAAAGCATGAATTATGATAATGGCGGTGTTCTGGTTCATGTTAGATGTTAATAATTTCGGGCTTGTGACTTACTACTCATTTAAATCCGATAGCTATGAAATCACACAAAAAATATACTATGTCGTTCTCGCAGAGCCATTAAAGAGCTGTAGAGTGATACAGTGTTACTGCTCAATTTAGGAGGGCATGGATGGAAATTGAACTATGTCTTGGAAATTTTAATAGCTCTGGTTTTACCCGACAAGTTTTTGATGCTTATAATGCAACATGCAAACATTCAATACGAAAACTTAGTCCATGATAGCAAAACTATTTGCAGGTGAGACTGTCTCAAATATATTTGAGCATGCATTTCAGACGTAAAAGTTCTTCCAATCTTGGTTTCACATCTCTTAAAAACACTACAAGATACCCTTATCAGATGTTGAAGGACCATTTTTATGTCTGGTATAGTTTTTCTGTTCCCTAAGTGCTTTGTGGACAATAGGGTGTTGAATGAATATCAGATGGTCAGGTGATTTCCACTGAGTTTTCTGCAGTAAGGGAAAGTAAATTCTATAGAAAGGTCCAAAGAAAATTTCTACTCAAAAGCTTTATTTTCAATTTTTATGTCATATATTTTACTGACTTTAGTCAAGTGTGGAATTGGTTTTTGGGAGAGTCTGAGGACTAGTAATGGTCACTTTTCTGTGCTGCCTGCTGTCCCTACCCTTGGCGGGAGTCCGCAGTATTCACAGAGCACCGAGAATAGACTGACAACTGTCAGAGGGGAGGTGGGTTGGAAGACTGGGTGAAAAAGGTGAAGGGATTAAGCAAACATCAACAACAACTAACTCAGAGACACAGGCAACAGTATGGTAATCACCATACTGTTGAGGGAAATGGGAGGGGTTGCTGAGTTTGGCATGATGTATGGGGTGAAATACTCTTGTGGAAAGAGTGGGATGGCAAGAAGAGAAGAAGGAAGACCAGCTAGGAGACCATGGCCATGGTCCAGGCTAGAAGATGGTGTCCTGTCCTGGGTAGCATGAAAGGCACACTCACATTCAGGGTAGCAAACTGAAGGGCCGCTGACAGCAACACTGCTGCTCATTAAAAACTCTGCTCAAGAAATAAGATAGGTTTTCAAAATATTAATGCCTGATTCACGAATGATCCTTACCCTCTCAATATGTCTGTCTCAGTGGGACAAAGCTTCTCCCGAAACTGGGGCCATCATCAATCATTCCCACCTTCCTGACCACTACCCCACCCTGGGTGTGCCTTCTTCTGCTATTTCTCCCCACTCCCCCTCCCCCAGAGCTTCCTACCACTGCAGACCACCTCTAAGCCTGCTCTCAGGGCAAAAGAGAAGGGACAGCACTGTCCCTTACTCACTGCTAGTGTTCCACAAATAGTCGTTAGTGTGTGTTAGTTGGAAGGAGGGTAAGGGGAGGAAAAAAGGTCAAGGAAAAGTGTCAGGAAGATGGAGCTCAGAGACACTGATTCATCTCTGGCTTCTTGAGTTTGTACCCCAAACACCATCCTTCAACAGCCGTGTTTTAAATAATGCATAGGTTCCATCAATGTCTAATTGCCAGAGTTTTCAACTACATATGAATTGAACATGCTTCTGTGGCAAACCTCAGAAATCCCAAGTTTAGACTATTTCTTTGTGAAAATAAGCCTCCGTTCAAACTCAACTTCTGGGGTCAATTTGTTTGTAAGTCGAGCGCTTGTCCCTTGTTCCCATGGTATCTGTCTCTACCCACATCAGCACTTTCATGCTTTGGAAATCCCGTTACTTGACCATTTTTCTTAATCAAGCAAATGCGACACAGTAAAAATAAGTTATTTATAGATTTGCTCATTTCTTCAATGATAACTATATTCACATTTTCATAGGGGATTGTGATATTTTTTCCCTGTGTTCTGCCATCCTCCTGCTTTCTCGTGTAATTAGACTGGTATGTTCTCATTATAATCTAAGTGGCTGTTGAATAAATAGCATATTGCATCATATGACTAGATATGGTTTTATTTAACTTATGACAGATTTGTAATAAATACAAACGACTTGTGAAATATATCTGTGATGAAAGAACAATGGCTCAAACTGTTCTTCAGGCTGACATTAATTGAACAAAAGACCTTATAGACCGCATACTCCATACACTCAAAAGGGGGAGGAGCTGGAGGAGGTGGGCTTGCCAGGACTGACTGCCAGAGTTGGAACAAGTCACTCTTCTCTGCGCCTCAGTCTTTTCACTCACCAAATGGGAACTTCCCATTACCAACCAAATCACCCCAAAGGGATTTTATAGGACTCTAAGAAATCATATATTACTAAGTCTAAATGTTTAAATAAACTTTTAGGAAACATATTTATGTGTGTGTTTTTTTTTATTTTTGTTGTTGCAAGTAATAGTATTCCTTCCTTCCATGATGTTTTTTGACTCATGTTTTCTAATTTTTAATTTTTTGTCATCTCATATCTCATATGGTGACATAGGATCTCATTTTTCTTTGCTGTTATTGCTGTGTGTTTTTTTTTTTTAGCAGAGAATGTTAAGGTTCAAATAATAAGAGGAAACTCAGATCCCATTCCTCTAGTGAGACTTTCCATGCAGTCTCCCCTTCAGCCTATGGGTTCTCCTATACTTCAGCCAAGAAGTGGAGATGATGATATCAAACTATGCTATTTTCTAGCCAAGTTGGCAGAGGCAAGAGCATAATAACCCTGTATAATAATTTTAAGCTGGAGTTGGCATGACTGTTATAGTAAGTCCCAGCATTTTTCCTTCTTGTTCTGAACAAATCCATCCACCCTACCCTTGAATTTTAGATGAGTTTATGAACACCCTCCAGCCTCTGTGGACTCTACTTTTTTGAACCATTATTCTACATTAGAATAATGTTATGTGTAATGTTATCGATAGATGAGCTTAACAGAAAGGTTTCCACCAGTGTCTGAGGCAATGTTATTTGTACTGTCATCTTCAGAGTTTTTAATACAATGACGTTGTGGCAGATATAATCGATCTATCTGCTTGACATTGTGCTACTCTCTAACTTTGCTCTGAGATTGGGGCTCTCTGTGACACAAAAAGAAATAGAACATCTTTTTCAGGGCTAGACAATTTATAATGAATTACCGAGGGGATTTGCCCAAACTCAGATGTCCGTTTGAGTCATGCTCTAGGACCCCAGACTCTGAAATATCCTATGCTAGTACATGTGGACCTGAGTGTGTTTGTATTTATTACAAATCTGTGATAAGTTAAATAAAACTAGATCTAGAGTGCATTTCTAGGGATTGCATAGACCTGCCCAGGGTATTTTGCTAGTGTGTATCCTTAGTCAAAGAGGAGTTGTCCAAGGGAGTGAGGACAGAGCATGGATATGTAGGTTGTGTATCTACATATATCCTCTTGGGCCTGGAGTGGATGATAGTTACCTTCTTTGATTTCTAACAAAATAACATAAAGATATTTGTAGTTTTTATATTTACTAAGGGTTTTGGGAAGCAGTACAACAGTTCAAGCAACCTTGAATAGAATGTTAGATAGCCCTTTGTTCAAGAGTTGTTTTTTTTTAAATACATATATTTCTTTATTGATTTCAATGAGGAAGGGAAGAGAGAGATAGAAACATCAGAAAGAGAGAAAGAGAGAGAGAGAGAGAGAGTCATTGATCAGCTGCCTTCTGCACGCCCCCTATTGGGGATCTAGCATGTGTCCTGAGTGGGAGTTGGACTGTGACCTCCCAGTTCATAGGTTGACACTTAACCCCTGAGCCACACTGGCCCAGCAACAATAGTTTTTGAGGAATGGACCCTTCACTAGGATGTGTCACTGACAGCTCTAACCTTGTGCTGGCCCAGCCCAAGGACAGTGCTTTGGTTAATCCTTTCTCTTCCGCTTCCCATATCACCCCTCAATGGCTACCAACCTGGAAATGCCCCAAACTCAAGGTGTGTCTCACTCTATTGTACATTCACTCTTCCTACATGCTCACCTTTGCAGATCCAAACTAATCAAATGTTTAAACAAGTCTAATGGACTTTCAGTTAACAAGATGCTCCCTAATTGAACAGTAATTGTGGTTGTCAGTAGTATCTCTGCTATTCATTCTACCTGCATAAACTCTTGCAGGTCAGCTCTCAATTCGAGTAATAGTCGATGATGATCACCATCCTCAAAATGACGGACTTTTATCGAGTATTCATAGTTTACCAGGCATTGAGCTAAGTTGGTACTATATTTACATTCTCCATATTGGAAATGAAGAGCTTAGCCCACAGCTAAAAGTCAGTGTGTGTCCTTAGTTACCTGAACACTTCCCAACAAATATTCTCTGAACAGCCGTTATGTACCAGACACTCTCCTAATCACAGTGTACAGAGGGTTAGCAGGGAATTCATGGTACCTGCCCTCATGAAGGTTCTTCCCCCAATAAAACATATAAACAAACAGGAAAACAGATGCAGATGC